CTCGCCTGCTTCCTCCCCGGCATCGGTCGGGTCACGCCGGTCCTTGGGCATTGCCGCGGCGTCGCCGCCGTCACGGGCGGCTACCGCTGACTCGGCTACCGCTGACTCGGAGGCTAGCGAGGAGGACTACCTCTGAGCGGTACCGTGTTCCTGTGTCCAGCCTCCCTCCGTCCGCTGCCCCAGGCGGACCCCCGGGCAGCGCCGGCTCCTTGTCGGCGGCTGCCCTTTCTTCGTCCGCGGCCGCCCGCTTTGTGGCGGCAGCGGACGTCTCGACTGACAGTGGTCAGTCGGCTGCCTCCGGGTATCGCGTCTAAGGGATTTTATTCCTCCTGCATGCTCCTGCTGCTTGTTGCTTGATTGCTTGACCCTTAGGCTGCTTGTCTGCGCGGCTTCGCGCTTGGGCTGGCGCTGCCGCGTCTGGGTGCCAGCAGTGCTGGATCTTTTCGGGCTTGTGTTTTGTGTGTGATTGTTCAGCTTCTCGCTGTGGACTGTGTGCCTGGAGGTTTAGGTTGTTCCTGCTTTGTTTTGCTTGAGGCACTTTTTATCTTCTGCCAGTAAATCCTATAGTTTGTTTTCCCTCCGTTGCTGCACATCATCTCCAGACCTGCAAACGCCGATCCTCCAAGCTTCCCACGGCGCATGACAACCTTACTCGTACGATTCGGTCGATGCTGAACGAAGCTGGTCTTCAGAGCGTCATCGATACAGTGGGGGATCCTCGTTCTCGACGGCAGGTACCCTCCCATCCTCATGGCCGCAAGATGAAGGGCGATATCCACATTCCTGGAATCCGCGATCGAGGGTCCGAGCAGTACGAGGGCTTGATGGCGGACGTGACGTTGGTCCACCCTTACATTGGTGCCAATAGATTGGTAGCTCTGCCGACCTGACCAAGTGGGGGGAGGTCAACCTCGACGCCCTCCATGTTGCAGCGTCTGAGAAGATTCGCAAACATCGCGCTGCATATGCCATGACTACTCCTCCTCGAGCGTTCATCCCTCTTGCCATCTCGACGGACGGTACCCTGCATCCTGACACCCTCCGCTTCATCTGGTATCTCGCGGACATCATTGCTCAGCGCTCGATGCCTCTTGAGGATGCGGCGTTTGGTCGGCACTTCGTGCCTGATGACGGCCCTGCTGCTGAGGTCTTGGCTCGCAAACGCGCCGCCACCTATCAGCGCCAGCTGGCGCTGGAGGCGCTCTTGTCTGGTGCGAGGCGCATGACGCCCTTGCGGACGCAAGCGCTTCTCGAGCCAGAGGACAGCTCCTCCTCGGACTTTGTAGACGTGTGGCGGCAGCGGACGTCTCGACTGACAGTGGTCAGTCGGCTGCCTCCGGGTATCGCGTCTAAGGGATTTTATTCCTCCTGCATGCTCCTGCTGCTTGTTGCTTGATTGCTTGACCCTTCGGCTGCTTGTCTGCGCGGCTTCGCGCTTGGGCTGGCGCTGCCGCGTCTGGGTGCCAGCAGTGCTGGATCTTTTCGGGCTTGTGTTTTGTGTGTGATTGTGCAGCTTCTCGCTGTGGACTGTGTACCTGCCGGTTCAGCTTGTTCCTGCTTTGTTTTGCTTGAGGCACTTTTTACCTTCTGCCAGTAAATCCTATACTTAGGCAATCAAGCAACAAGCAGCAGGAGCATGCAGGAGGAAGGGATCGAGCTCGCGCTGACATCCATCACATTCCGTCGGACACTGGCAGATCGGCATGCCATGGAGATAGCAGTCGAGCATCTGAGCATAGCGGTGCGGGAAGGCCTTGAGGGGGTAGTAGTTCGAGACTCGCATCGGAGAGTGGCTCAGGTCTCGCTCAGGAAAATGAGCGAAGATGGTAGACTGCAAGACCCAATGATCCTGCGACTTGAGCGAGTGTGTCCTGCGGCTGTGCAAGGTGAGGATATCACGCTGCTGATCGGTCAGCGCAGCGCGAGCATGCACATGGCGAGGGAAGACGCGCATGACAAGAGGGGTCACATTTCGCTGCGCAGGGGGAGGAATGAAGTGCTCATGAGACGAGTCGACGAGAGCGCGCAAACCAGGGATGTGTACCACAGATGCCGGGGGGCGTCCTGCGTCATCAGGCACAGCAGCCGGGGCAGGTGGGATCGCCGCGCCATCTGCAGCCGGTGCAGGAGCCTTGACACGACGGTAGAGGATCGCTCCAGCATTATGAACGAAGTCGTGCGCCTCAACGAAGAAGGTCGCCAGAGGATGCTTCTGGGCACGGAGAGATCTCGAGCAGTGAACGTCCAGGCTATGAGGAGAGGGCAAGGTCCGGGACATGGGCTGGTCAGAGTACCAAGCGAGGAAGCGAGCGATAGCCGTATAGTAAACAGCGGGGTGTAGACCCTCAGAGGGCGTGAACTCGTCCCCTCCCCGACTATGCGGAAGCTCCCGCTTGAACCTCGCAAACTCTAGCAGGTTGGGATGCGCGGCGAGGTACTGCGAGGAAGGCCAGCGGTGGTATTTCTCAAGCGCCAGGTGGACAGAGAGGTCAAAGCGACGAATCTGTGACTGGACCCGCGGGAGAAACGGAGAAGACCCCTATACCCCCCCTGGAGGAAGAAGCGCAGCTTCTGGAGATGGCTCGCCCTCACCAGCGTCTTGAACATGAAGCCATGCTGGACGAGCCCGAGCTTCGAGAGCTCTTCGTTGAGGGTAGAAACCTTCGCTCGGAGCTGACTAGCATGAAATCCATCCGTGCCCTTCGGCTGCTTGTCCGTAGCTTGTCTGCGCGGCTTCGCGCTTGGGCTGGCGCTGCCGGGTCTGCTGACGGTTGCCAGCAGTGCTGGATCTTTTCGGGCTTGTGTCTTTGTGTGTTTGTGCAGCTTCTCGCTGTGCGCTGTGTGCCAGGAGGTTCAGCTTGTTCCTGCTTTGTTTTGCTTGAGGCACTTTTTACCTTCTGCCGTTGTCGGATTTACTGGCAGAAGGTACGGTGCAGATGAATTCCTTGTAAACTTTCATGGCAGAAATTTTCAGATGAAGATGTTCCGTGAGTAGAGTTGAGATCGTGTATGAAGTCTCGATGAAATGAATATGAGTTTTGACAAAATCAGGCTTTTCGAGCATGTGTTCAGTTTCCCAGGGCCCCAGTCATAGGATTTACTGGCAGAAGATAAAAAGTGCCTCAAGCAAAACAAAGCAGGAACAAGCTGAACCGGCAGGTACACAGTCCACAGCGAGAAGCGGCACAATCACACACAAAACACAAGCCCGAAAAGAACCAGCACTGCTGGCACCCAGACGCGGCAGCGCCAGCCCAAGCGCGAAGCCCAGTATTGGCAACTGAAGGCTTTGACATGATGCCAACATTCATATGTCTTTAGGGACACACATGTGCGGCATATGCGTGCTTGTACTAAAGGACTTGAATGTTTCTGTTGTAAGTCGATCAACAAAGGAGAAACCTTGCCACCGCGCATGCTAGTTCGAATCTTTTATTGAAAATAGACATGTTCATTACTGGACTGCATCTACACGATCAATAAGCCCATCCTTCCTTGTGCATTTGAACTCCGATGTTCAAGTATGTGATCATTGCCACCTGGGTGACACCGCACAAAATACAAGAAGTTTTCTTGCTTCTTGGGTATCAGTCTTGGATTGCTTCAAAATAGGGCGGAAGAGACGGGCAGTAGATAATTGAATGACCTCAAAATCATCTTTTTTTGCTACATTGAGTACATGCATGCCTGTTAACAAACAGACGAGGCGAATGCTCACTTGCAGCTTTGCGATTCGACATATAAGGGCATCAGTGCATGGGCCAGGATATCCACACACGGCAACAATCCAAGAACTTTTGGATTGACAAACATTCTAGACATGTAGTCATGCATTAGAATCAGTAACTTGCCTGAACAGAGCTTGTTGATGCAACTGCTCTCTTCCTGATAATAACATTGATGGCTGTCATTCAAGTCTAAAGTTGATGGGCCATATCCCCCAGTTCCTCTGACAGCAGTTGACTTAGATATTGGCTGAGATGAATCAAGATCTCGCTAAAAGATCAACATGTTCCCTGACTTCGAAAAGCGTTGACATACATCGAAGTTTGAATCCATTGCACTTGGTTCATCACCACAACAGAGCTGGATTCATGCAAGGCAGGTTCTTTTCAAGACCCTTCTTGTATCTATGCAACAATACAACATGATTCGAAGCATACACGCATGAAAATTCGATTGCAACACGTCCTCATGGTATCATGGCCATCGCTCCTTGTCGTGGCTCAAGCAGAAGGCGTGTGGGGTTGAGGAATAGACCCACCCCTACCTTCTGATTTCCATCTACTCAGGCTTTTTCAAAGGTAGGGGGTACTAGCTTTGGTCAAAGTAATTTGATTCAAATTTCCCTTGCGAGAGGGTCATTGAGCTATGGACCACCGGGGTGGGTGCTGTTTGACCACTTACCGGTAATCGAATATGATACTTTTCGACGCCAATTCCAGTACGGAGAGCCCATACTTTTAAGATTTCATCCTTCCTCCCTTGAATCCGACCCACCCCACCCTGACTCTGACGGAGGGAAACGTACGGGTTCTCTAAACTATCTGAAACCACCCATGCGAACCTCACAGAAAATGAGGGACTTTTGTGGTACAACTTCATGTATGGGGAGCCCTGAGGACCTCCGTACAAATACCACAACGCTTTGGAACAAGTATTTTAAGGGCAGTACAAACAAAACGCCCTGGTACTAAAGATTCCAGAAGGGGATTGGAACGTCCGGCGGACGGAGAAAGCGCTGCAGTGCCCGACGGAGGGAGGCTGGACACAGGAACACGGTACCGCTCGAGGTAGTCCTCCTCGCTAGCCTCCGAGTCAGCGGCAGCCGAGACCAACTTGGCACCGCCCGTGACGGCGGCGACGCCGCAGCCGCGTTGAATGCCCAAGGACCGGACCCGACCGATGCCGGGGAGGAAGCAGGCGAGCTCGGACCAGCAGCAAGCACCCCAGTGGTGTCGAGCTCTCCGGAGGCACCCGACGTCACAGTGAGGGACGGAGACGCCTCGCCAGCTCCGCGCCGGTCGTCGGCGCCACTCGCCAGGGGGGAAGTCAACCTCGACGCCCTCCGAGTCCATGTTGCAGCGTCTGAGAAGATTCGCAAACATCGCGCTGCATATGCCATGACTACTCCTCCTCGAGCGTTCATCCCTCTTGCCATCTCGACGGACGCCGGGTACCCCGGGCCCTGCATCCTGACACCCTCCGCTTCCGATGATCTGGTATCTGGCGGACATCATTGCTCAGCGCTCCGACGATGCCTCTTGAGGATGCGGCGTTTGGTCAACTTCGTGCCTGATGACGGCCCTGCTGCTGAGGTCTTGGCTCGCAAACGCGCCGCCACCTATCAGCGCCTCACTGCTATGCAGCTGACGCTGGAGGCGCTCTTGTACGGTCTGGTGCGAGGCGCATGACGCCCGATCATCGGAACAAGCTGGCAAAGAAGGACGGCTCCGAGTCCGATGCAGAGGGGGTCAGGCAGAGAGCACACCGTGACTGCGGCAACAAAAGCGGTGTACGGAACACAGCAACAAACGCGGCTCAAACACACGCTCGGAAACATAAAACCGAAAGTAATTTACCTCCGAGGCTCAGTTCTGTTGCCGCGCACCTGACCTGCAAGCCGCCTCGAAAGTAACACTGCACACGTGACGGCCGGGCGTCCCGCCGTTCCGCTTCATCTGGCTGAGGAGTCCAAGTTAAGCGTGTAATGATGTGCGTGCAGGCAAGACGGTCAGGCGTCACACCGTGAGCCACAAACTTACAACTCGAGTCCGCCTCGGAACCTTTCCTTCTCCCCCCCCCCCCCCCCCGGGGTTTCACTCTCCCTTGTGGCTGAAGGGGGGGAGGGGAGTCATTGAATTAGGGTTTTCTAGTCCTTCCTCAAAGGGTCGGAAAAGGGGTGGGGGCCTTTTTTAGAAGTAACCCCCCCCCCCACACA